ATACTAACAGTACAACTTGATAGCAATCGATGTCTTTTTCATTACGCAAGCGATTTTTATAAATATATTCCGTACTCATTTGTTTTCAACTTTTTGCGTATCTAACATTTTATATGCGTAATTGGTACGCAACAATTATTTTTTCAATGCGTAATTGGAAATTTTCTATGCGTACTTTACCCGGATACGCAGCTTATCTGGGCCTCTGCAGTGAATATTTGTTTGTTTTGCCCAGAGTAAACGTATGTAATGACATTGAGACGCGCTTGTTTGGTCATGAGGATCTTTGAAAAGACTATATACTTTTTCGTGAATGGAATACGTTTTCGCAATCATGATTGATGACGACTGGATCATTCCAACCAATCGATCATCGAAATTAATCGGTTAGGGTCATGTTTGTGTTTTCAGTGAAAAGTTCAGTAAGACGAGATCACGCGTTAAACAAATACACCCAGTTTCTCCATTTGGCTCTTCTCGTTTTTAAAATAACATACCCTTCCTCCATTGCAAAGATATAGGTTGTGAATAGAACATATCAGAAGACGAATCTGTGTCCGTATTTCAAAATACTAACACAATGTATTGTGAAATCTATTTTAAAAGAACCAAACTACGTGTCTGTATAATGGAAAAATATACCTAGCCCCAACAGTTGCATGTAGAACAGGCAAGCCTCGTCGTAAATGTGTTCGCTCGTTGCGTGAAAGGGTTGGGTTCGATTTCTCTCATGGATACAATGTGGGAAGATTATTTCTGGTGTCCACCTCGGTGGTTTTGCTCTATTATTGCTAGAAGCATTACTTTTGTTGGGTTGAGTCCCATCGAACCAAATACTTTCTAAATGGCATTGTGTATTCACAATTAGCTACTACTGAACGATAAACGGATAAGGAGATAAAATAAGTGTACCTTACATATATCTTCCGCAGGTCACACAATTAAACAGATCTTTACGTACATGCAAGAACGTGCACATGGGCTCAAACTTAGCATGTGAAGATGCCATAATAGGTATGGCATTTGACAACTTGACATAGTTTACACGTTCGTTTGTGTGCCTTCAAAGAAATTGCTTTGGACTGCTTAATCGGTTTGGCCTTCCGGTCAATCTTCGATTGGTGTGATTAATCGGAGCATAAATAATATTTCGCAAGCTGCGTAAAGGAGATCCCAGGTGTAGCGAAAAATGGGGTAGCCTTGTGGTTAAAGCTCGTGCCTCGTCACACCACGGTCCGGGTTCGATTCCTCGAGTGGGAATAATGTGTATAGTGGCGTAAAACCTGACTCACTCACTCTCAGAACAGCTGTACAAATATCTACGAACATCTCATTACGGGTAATTGCTGTACCTTTCATCAGGCGATCCTTCAAAGTTCGCGAAAGGTCGCTATGGATTGACATGTAATGGGGTGTCCTCAAATCTTTGTGTAGCGGTTGTAAGCCCTAAATGTGATTTTAATAGATGATGCAATATGACACCACAAATGCTCGCAATTGTTAGTGACAATAGGTTGGTTGGTGGAAGGTGTGTGTGTGGCTTTCATCAGCACATGCAATGTTTTCTTTCATTTTCCCTCAAACGGTGCCATTTGTAACACATAGAATAACCTGAAATAGCCTTTGGCGTATAACCTCTTTCTTACGTATACTTAGCCAACGACAGATAATCAGCTCAGACGAGGGCCTTCAACCGTAATGTAATGAGGATTATATTATCCATATACAGTGGAAACCGCCTAAGTAAAGACCTCTTAACTAAACAGACCTGATAAGTAAACACTTTTCCTTGGTCCCGGCAAATTTCTTCATTAATTATCACTATTAGAGTCCTGTTAACTAAACTTGGATAAGTAAACAATACCGCTTAACTAAACGTCTTCCCACGGTCCCTGGAAGTAAATTACTTAACAAAAGAGACTGGATAACTAAATTAGCGATCACCACATAATCCGACATGAGGGGCAAGTGTCAGTCTCCAGTTAAACAAACATCCTACTTACAGCTCACTGGGGTCAAGCAGTTGACAATACACTGACAGCTGGAGGCCAGCCCTGATAATGTGTTCATTGTTACATATGCATACATATACATGCATATGGTTGTCTTTTGCAGATTTTTATAGGTTTGGATAAGTAAAATACCTGATAAGTAAACAATTTTGGCGAGTCCCTTGGAATTTTACTTATCAGGTTTCCACTGTACTAGTATGTGGAACAGCGGCCCTGGCATGCGGAGTGCACACACTTCCATTGTGTTGTAATCTGCCGTCAGAGGTTAAGGCGATAACAGTACCCAGCAAAGAATACTTGCTGTCTTCCTGCTTTCGAAGTGATGAATTCAACACGCTGCACGAGCATCTGCTATTGTGTATCTTTATTGGATTATAAGGTTCAAAATATGCTATACATGTATAGTCTGTTTGCAATGAAAACGTACCGATGAATTTCACTTTAAACAAAAAAGTAAATCAAATTTAGTGAAATTAAGATTGCGAATCCTCATAATTTTACCTTGCCAAATGAACATTTAAATCTCAAAATTTTACTCAACTTAGGATAAAAGTTGTTAAACAAACGATCATAGAACCAAATCGCTATTGTTGGTTTGTATTACAAGGGGGTAAGCGCAGTAGATGGAACAGTGAAACAAAGGCACGTGCGGTACGTGATGAGCGTTAACTTAGACCAGCCCTACTTGTTCTCGGTGTTTCATCTAATGTGCATACCCCCTTGTAATACAAACCAATAAAAACGATTTGAAACTATGATCGTTTGTTAAACAACTTTTATCCTAAGTTGAATAAAATTCTGAGATTTTACTTTTTATTTAGAGTGAAATTCATCGGTACGTTTTCACTGCAAACAGACTATAGATACATAGACCAACCACAGCTTTGAAACTTGCCATTCAGTATCACCAGTATCATCATGTCGCTTAATTTAAGTGAAACTGCATTAATTACCCTTTTTCAAACCCAACAACATACCCTTCTGTGGCTGGTAAATGGGTTGTTCCATTATTTTATAGGTCAAAACTCATTTCCCATTCTGCCTACCGAATTTTGTGTACTGTAGGCAAACTGGGATGTAGGCAAATGGGACAGTCACTGTAGATAGAATGGGACGTAACCTCCAATACTTAGTCGGGGCATTACACCGTTCATTCACAAGGCGAGGCGCTTTACGGGGATGGATAATCACCAGCTCGTGTGTTGTACCTGTCACCCTTAAAAACAGCGACTGTCAATATAGAATAGTTCTACTCTTAATATCATTGAATCTTTTTAATCAATATGGGAACAAAAATGTGAGTTAGTAATTTAGAATTTACGCCGCTTTAGCGATATTCCAGCAATATCAAGGCAAGGGACACCAGAAATGAGCTCCCAATACTAAGAAATCGAAACTGGACCATCGGCATGACGAGCAAACGCTTTAACCATTAAGCCATCCAACCGGCCCGAACAACAATTTGAAAAAGGAGATAGACCCATGGTTGATGTTGGCAAAACGTGAAACCTACATGAAGTGTTTTTTTAAAGTGATGCATTTGATACGGGTAGCTGGAGTTAGCAGTGTTTCGGCAACTCCTTCCAGCATAGTACTGTTTTGATAATGCTTGTGATTTCATTGTCCAAAAAATGTTCATGCTTTAACTTTCGTTCAACCTTGAGTTTATATGACAGTTCCGTCAACCGATGAAAGTTCGGAAGAGTGCATTCTATTGTTCCAGAATAAATAGATGTAATGTGTGATTCACGCGTTTCGAGTTCCTGTTACAGAGAAAATATAAATGGGTCAAACATGAAATGTTGTGAGGACTGACTGACTGACTGAGTTTGGTTTTACGCCGCTTTTAGCAATATTCCAGCAACGGCGGGGGACACCAGAAATGGGCTTCACACATTGTACCCATGTGGGGATTCGAACCTGGATCTTCGGCGTGACGAGCCAACGCTTTAACTACTAGGCTACCCCTCCGCCCTGTTGTGAGGAGAGATGGGGTAGTCAGGTGGTTAGAGTGTTGTGTTCGTCATGCTGAAAACCTGGATTCGATGCTGCGTATGATGTGTGAAGTCTATTTCTGGTATTCCATCCCAAACCCCCATCATGTTATTGGTGAAATGTTTTCATAAGTGTCGTAAAAGCACTGAATTATTGTGAAAATAAGTGATTTGACATTTTCAACAGAATCACGACACAGACACAGTCTGGGTCAAAGTGCTGTACAAAATAGCACGAAATATTCAACACAACCTCTGAATATAAGTAAGACATGGGGCTGTTGAATGACATTTGCCATGGAATCTGGCCATTTCACAGCAAGGCTTTCACAGCGTATCCTATTTTCTGCTGGTAAGACTGCCTTCTTGAATCTCATCTCAGTTGACAGTAGACACATGCAGGAAGTATTCGGCACGAATGGCGGCAAAACACGGATAACCACTCTCGATAAATCCGTGGAATGTGATAATAATGAGATAATAATTCTGTCTTCCAGAACCATTCCGTGGACTTGTGGTAACATTATCATAAATTTAGACATGGGGGTAATCGTGTGATGAGTCAGTAACAAAGTATACTACTGGATCACAACTTCTTCTTAATTGCAGAGAGAGACGTAGACTGTCTCCCAGTCCTTGAACCGCAATATTTTATTAGCTCTCCCTGCAATGCTAAAGTTCTAAATGAAGCAAGTCTAGAATTCCTGAGGTTCAGGCTGAATTCCCCCATCTCACTTGGTCTTTTTTTTCAATTTAAACGAATTTTTAAAAACATATTATTTCAATCAAAATTATATATATTTGATACTAAACGCTAGTCTATGAGCGACGTTTCAATGTTCATTATTATATCGTTATCAAGCTGAAACGTCGCTCTATGCATTAAACAATAACAAGACGTTGTTATCCGTAAATGTGTAAAGACCGTAATATCCTATATGTCACAGTTCGTATTACATCATCAACCTGACACCAGGTCAAATCTCATTTACAGACCGTCTCGAGTGCGTAGACCCATTTGTTAACACGCTGACACGCTCGACTGATTCCTGACCTTGCGACAAAAGTACCGGAAGTTGGGATCACGTGACCTCACGAAATCGACCGAGGCCAGACGACTCGAGAGGGAAAGAGGTATGTCGTATTTACTCATGTTATCAAACGGGGGTAAGTTGTTGATATTCAAACAAACCGAGTGGTGGTCGTTGGAAGTTGTCCAGGTGGATCTGACAGACTTTTGTGATTTGTGAATCACGCGTCCCCTAAACATCAACTTCAATCGATTTCCAGTCCTTGGAATTTGATTACGTGAGACAAAAATTACTGATTCCTTATCAGGGCTTATCGAATTTCAGAACCAGAAGGTTACCGTGGTTCACAGATTTAAAGTGTAATATGTTGCGCGAAATTGTTATTATGTGTTGAGTCTAGCAACACATGGGAGAGAAACAAAATTAATAATTTGTTATCTTGAAGTACTAACCTATACAAATACTTCCGAACACCCCATTATTACACGATGTCATCAAGCCCCAATGAGACAAGTCTAGATTTTCCCCAGACTCTGAATCTAACATCTCAGTTTCAATTTAAATTGAGTTATTAGTTTCTATCAAAATTATAAAATATTCCAAAACCAAGCGTATACGCCTAGAGGTAGACTGACTGACTGAGTTTGGTTTTACTCCGCTTTTAGCAATATTCCAGCAACATCACGGCGGGGGACACCAGAAATGGGCTTCACACATTGTGCCCATGTGGGGATTCGAACCCGGGTCTTCGGCGTGACGAGCCAACGCTTTAACCATTAGGCTACCCCACCGCCCCTAGAGGTAGAGGTCTAGATACATGTTTCTATGGCCCAGGTTCGTATACATGCGTTCTCTTACACATTCAGAAGTTTAAACGTATCTATAATGTAATTTAGAATGTAAGAACATTTCATATTACGTTGTTTACGAATGTGGTCAAGTATCTAGTATTCTGAGTGATATACGAGCAGTTTACATGAAGTAAATTAACGTATCAAGTGTGTCGCAGTTCCAGATCCCCGAGTTCTGAGTGTTATGTCCATTTACCCAATCAATGATGTCGCTTTATATCCGGTCGCCGAACAGGACATGTTCGCGGTGGTAGTACATGGTGCCTCCGTTATTGCAATCACTTCGATAGTCTGTCTCACAGTCCCTGAACCACATTAATTTCCCTACTGCCAAGCCCTCTCTGCAGTGCTAAAGCCCTAAATAAAGCAAGTCTAGATTTCCTCAGGTTCTGAATCTCTGGTCTCCCTAGGGCTCCTTTTCAATATAAATGGGCTTGTTTGTTACTATCAAAATTATATATATTCAGAGACTAAGCCTTAGTCTATCACTTCGAGTTCCCTCCGTTATAGATGTATTGCACACCCGCGTCCAATGCGTTAGGACAGTACCGGGCAATCGAAAGTAGACACACCTGTTGGATCGTGGGTAGAAATTAATCGAAGTGGTTAGTTGGTAGAGATGTGTTATGATAGCGCTGTTTAGACCATACGTGTGCAGTTAAAACTGTTTCTCCCAAACAAATATTCTGTCGGTTCCTTTCAGTTCAGTCATACGTGGTGTCAAATAATTGACTCATTAACACACTTTAATTTGCATAAAGAATAAGCGTTGCGAATTTGGATTTTCACTTTTAAACATGATGAATATGCAATTTAATACACAAACACTACCATTCCATGGATCGGATTTTCCCGAGAAGATCCGGGTTAGAATTGTTTATCACCAACCCATGCTTGTCGTAAGAGGCGACTAACGGGATCGGGTGGTCAGGCTCGCTGACTTGGTTGACACATGTCATCGTATCCGTTTGCGTAGATTGATGCTCATGCTGTTGATCATTGGATTGTCTGGTTCAGGATTGATTATTTACAGACCTCCGAATGTAGCTGCAATATTGCTGAGTGCGACGTCAAACCATCCAAGGGTCGGATGATCATGTTCCATTACTTGGTGCCAGCGTTTCCGCGAGAGTGGAACTCTAGGCATTGTATCATTCACTGGTAAGTTTGATCCAAATAGGTCATTCATAGGCCACCGTCACATAGCTGAAATAGTGTCAAATGCGGCTTCAGTGAAAAAAAATTAAAAATAAAACGCTCCTACGCGGAGAATACTAATATATCCCATTGAAGTACGGATAGCGATAGACTAACGTGTAGATTATGAATCTCTATATAATTATGATAGAAACAAGCAATTCCGTTTAAATTGAAAAGAAGCCCCGGTGAGATGGGAGCCTGAACCTGAGGAAATCTAGACTTGATTCATTTAGGGCTTTAGCATAAGTGAAAATAATGCGGTTCGGGGAATGTAAGACAACTAGGACGTCGACTGTATACACTGAATATCTCGAACATGTAACTGTATATGAGAAAATATAAATTAATATAAAACGTAGAGAAGCATCATTCTTATTTTCACCAAAGATAAAGAACATTTTCCTCCTTTTCAGTCGCGCCTATCGTTGCATGGCATTTCTCACAACACACAACCATTACGTGACGCAACGCATCACGCAACACGTCTTGTTTCAAGCAGGTTGTGTATAACAGCCGCTCAGTGACGAATAACATATGACGTTGTGTATAAACACGGAAGTCACTTCGAGGGTTTCACCGCACGTGCAATTAGAGAGGAAAAATGTTACCTTCCTTTCCTTGGATGTATTTTGGGTTGAAGCCGTCGGGCATACTTTTTTAATATGTTGATTAATGTTTACCTTGAAGATGAAAGGTCCTTGTATAAAGTCAGTTTCAGAAATCCACTCTCCGTGTGCGTGTGTGTTGACGACCTTTTTCAGCCCTCGATGGAAGTGCTTGTGCTTTTGTCTTTTCATAAACATGCTTGCTTTTTTTCGTCATACTGTCATCAACTTAAGTATTACATAGAAATAGTGAAAGTCCGTTAATGCATGGTGTTTGTACCCCAGTAAACTCACCCAAATAAATATTTACGGGGATAAGATATCTTTTGTACGGAGACGTTCAATTTAAATTTTTTCGAGCCCCGGATTCTGTTCCTGTGAAACTGAAGCTTAAACATCAGTATGGGAAATACTCAGAGAAAAGAGCGCCTTCATTCTCGACATAATGGAAAAGGCGTCACAATTTTAAATATGGAAAATATATGTTTCATTTTGGTAGCGGATCGGGTATCTGTGTTTGTGTTTGTTCCGGGCAATCAAGAGCACTAATTAATATTTGGTATATTCTGTTCATAATGGACATACTAGTTTAAGCACATCAATAAGATAATCGTGCTCCATGTTAACCCGACGCCGGGGATCGGTGCTCGTGTTATCAACCACAAGTTTTGTGTTGTAAAGAATCGAGTATAACAGGTCGGAATAGTATAGCTGGTTTAGTATTGACTGTCCTGTATAACAATATACGCGCATTTGCTCGACCACCAGTGAGTATCACCTGTTTATATTAAGTGTTTTGACCAGTGTCATAAAGTAGATAAGTCCTCCGGGACCAAATGTCTTTACAATATAAGGATGCTTTAAGATCTGTCAAGATCAAGTTGTGAAATCATTTCATCCGCGTGGTTAGAAGTCAAATTGGTCTTCAACAACCCATGCTTGTCGTAAGAGGCGAGTAAATGGGATCGGGTGGTCAGGTTCGCTGGCTTGGTTGACACATATCATCGTATCCCTATTGAGTAGATCGATGCTCATGCTGTTGATCACTGGATTGTCTGGTCCAGACTCGATTATTTAGAGTCCACCACCGTACCATATCTGGAACCATTGCTGAGTGCGGCATTTAACAGTAAACTAACAAACTTGTTTAAGCAACGTCAACTGTAGCACTAAGTACAGCTGTAACATAGTATTGTTATCAGGCACGACAAATTCATTTCCGTGTTCGTGACCTGTCAATTAGTATTATCTACAGTCAACAAAACAGTTCTTCTTTTCCGTTTAACGCCAACTCGAGGACATGAGAGAATTTACAGAACACCAAAAAACAACCGAGTTAAATATTTTGGGATGCAACACGATGTTTAGTGTCACTGTTTTATCCTTTGTCTAATTGGAATGAATAAATCATCCTGGTGTATATCTGGAGAATCACGTTCTGTGTGTATCGTCAAGGCTGACCTCCCCTGTTTTCTCTGGCATACGCAGTTCGGGATGATAATCAGAGGACGTGTAAATTAGGTGAGGTGAGGTGAAATTGGGTTTAACGTCGTGCTTGAGAATATTTCGCTCATATGACGACGTGCATGTGTGTGTATGTGTATGTGCGGCTGCTTGTACTAGCCCAGACTGAAGCTGGTTTTATAGTGCTAGCCCACTGAGATACCATGCCGCAGTGAAGCATGAATACCACACTCAGACACATTATACTGACTCCGAGCCGACCAGTCCTTGTTGTATTCATTAATGCCGAGCGCCAGGCAGGGACCAACAAGGACCATATTTTAACGTCTTTTGGTATGACGCGGCCGGGGATCGAACCCGCGACCTTCCTCTCTCCGGGGGCGCTCTAACCACTACACCATGGAGGCGGTACGTGTAAATTAGAGCATTGCGGTGTCAATAACATGATCGTTTAATGTACACTTTGGATAATTGAAAAAATGAACACACATGGTTGTTCTCTGAGAGTTCATAAAGGGGAACAAATATACTTCAATAAGGTTTTAGGGCACTCACAAACACCTCACTCTCTCGAGTACATAACAAAACGATTTTTTTTCTGTAAACTGTGGACGAATTATAAATGCCTTCGTCATCACCTTGATTGTCTCTCTTGCTGTAACTGCCATCCTGTCTAGAACTACCTCTGGGACACATGTAAGAGAAATATATATACATGACTGGCTATTCAGATAAACAGTGAGTAAATACTTTTATTAGAAGGTGACACAGGGTAGTATTGTTGCTGTTAGTCCCTGGGAGGTTAAACCTTTTGGTGAACGTTAATTGGGTGATTACAGAATTAGAAACCGAACAAAACTTGACCTAATTTGTGTTATGAGCGCTCTGATTGCTTGGCACAATTACTATTTACAAAAATGTTGATTATTTTAAAACATGTACCATATGGGAAGGTTTATCACTGGACAGAATAATCTCGTGAAGACTATCGGTACACACCTCTGTATGAGTCACTGGAGTGATACTGTGTCGCCAGTAACCTCACATAAACATGCTACATTGTGACACCCTTGGCCATGTCTTAAAGCTTCTCGGAAATATGATAGTATGCACCTATCCCAGTGCTGCGTCAGCGGTGTTGCCAATAGCTTTAATCCGTGTCACGTTGACCCGAGTGTGTACACAGTGACGCTGTCATCCCGCCGGTACCGTGTAGTGGAGTTTATCAATATGTTGTGGTCATTGCGACGGGGTCAGTAAATGTCGACATATTCAAGGTCAAGATGGTGTTTCTGAAATGATGGTGTTGATGGTGTGGATCAAAAGGGTATATTGATGAGTTTAGATAAATTAAAAACGGAAGAAGACTTTATGGTACAGTATTACAGCTTGTCGTAAATTGCGAAATGTATTGGATAATGTGAAATCCATTGTGAGCTTATTCTAAAGCGTGATAACATTCTTTAAAGAAAAAGAACTTCTTACCCTGAATTAATGATGATCAGTTTCATTAAAATGTACAAATAATTTATGATATCTGAATAATTTTGTTTTATCATTGTTTATGATCATTCATCATTATGAAATGCCCACAAGTGCGATTGCACGCCTACATGGGTCTTTTACGTTCACTTCATTCACTTTCAACTTGTTTCAAATCACAAAGCGCTGATGCATTCAACTCCCCAGCCTTGACTTTACAGAGTGAGCGAGTGAGTTAAGTTTTACGCCGCTTTAAGCAATATTAAGCAATATCATAGCGGGGGACACCAGAAATGGGCTTCACTCACTGTACCAATGTGGGGAATCGAACCTGGGTCTTTAGCGTGACAAGGGAACGCTTTAACCACTAGGCTACCCCACCGACCCCGACTTACAGAAGAAAGCTGGACTATGAGGTGTTACTTAAAGATCAAGATAAACGATATCCCCCGCACTTCAAGCCTGTTGTTCCACACGTGTATCGATTTGGTTTTTTTTGTTGTTGCTATTTTAAGGTGTTTTTAGTAGTATACAAATGTAGTATGTAAGTAACTTTAAACCCGTGGAACAAAAATAATATTCACCAAATATTGGCTTGCTCTTATTTTATATTAATATTTGTGTTATTATTATCCACTTGGTTATATTCAATTGGAAACATTTAAATATTGAAATATTTATCCACAATTTTCTTCATTGCAGACAATCGACACAATGCAGTGGATGGATTACCTCCCTTGAATACACATCGCGCCCTCCGGATATAAAACTAATCTCATATTCAAAGGATATATTGATTATAACCGCAAACGATGGTTGGAGACAGTTTGAATGTCACCCCAAAGACAACTGTAATACCTCGAGGAAATGGAACTTCGTTCCCTGGATTATTCGACTACGAGACAAGCACCAGTTTCCTGACATCGGCCAATCACAGCCAACTATTGCACATGGTCAATGACGAAATCGCCACGACACTTATTCCCGCAATGGTGTGCATTGGGGTGCTAATGGTATCCGGATTTATTGGTAACACTCTCGTATGGTACGTTTTCTCAACAAAACTCAAACACAGTACTCAGAATTTTCTTTTCGTGATCTTGGCGATTTTTGATCTCATGAGTTGCTGCGTTGCCATGCCAACGGAAATTGCCGACATGCGGTATTACTTCACCTTTGACTCTGTTATTGCTTGCAAGATCTTGAGGTTTCTAGTAGCTTTCCCAACTCTGGCGTCCAATATTGTCCTGTTGATCATCGCTGTTGACAGATATAGAAAAGTGTGCCGTCCCCTGCATCAACAGATCACACGAAACATTTCCAAGAAGGCGGTAGTCTTAGCTGCATTTGTCGCCATCTTGTATTCCATCCCTGCCCTGTTTATTTACGGTAGACGTTCTGCTGTGACCAGGATCCCTGGCGTCATTGGAAACGACTGCTCAACCAGTGACGCCATGACAGGAAAACTCTACCCAATGATTTACGAAATCACGTTGAGCGCGTCGTTCGTTATTTTCACCGTCACCCTACTAATACTGTATATTTTAATATGGAGAGAAATTAAGCGACACAAGCAATACATGAAAAGGAATGCCAACTACAATTACGCCATGGTGTTGTTGATGGCTAGAGACAGATCTGCAGACAGTTCGTCCTCGACCCCTGGCACGCCTCGTTCTCGATCTCAGTCACATGACATGTCAAATGCCACGACCTCTCAACGACCTCTGTCCTACAGGGGTCAAAGGACAACAGTCATTGCATTTCTTGTGACGTTTGTTTTTATTTTGAGTTTCGTGCCGCATTTATGTCTTATCATTTCACGAACGATCTTGAAGGACTTCGATCACCATTTGCATGGTGCCAAGCTTGTGTTGTATAATTTATTTATTCGTTCGTATTTTGTGAACTCTGTTGCAAATCCAATTATTTATGGTGCTATGAATTACCACTTCCGACGCGAATGTGTCAAAGCGGTCAAAAGATTTTGCTTTTGTACTGTGAAATCGAAATAAATATGTTTTGTTTGCTTCAAATATACGTTATGTAACCACAATGTCACAGAACCTCGAGAATCTAGTTATAATTTCCGAAATCGAGTGATTGAGTTTAACTTTCCGCCGCTTTTAGAAATATTCCAGCAATAACTCGGCGGGGGACATCAAAAATGGGCTTAGTTCCGACATCGAGTCAGAGAGTGATTGAGTTCAGTTTTACGCCGCTTTTAGAAATATTCCATCAATATCACTGCGGGGAACACTAGAAATTTGTTTCACACATGTTACCCATGTTTGGAATCGAACCCGGATCTTCTTCGTGGCGAGGGAACGCTTCAACCAATAGGCTAGGCCACCGTCCCTTCTGAAATCAAGGAACCAACATAACAATGTCCTCTTTTCTTGTCACTGTACATATAATACATGTTGAAATGATAATCAGTATCTGTGTCAATACCTGTGTACAAAAGCATCATTCTTTCAGCTTATCAACTCTACAGATAAAAGGCTACCATTTGGATCTCAATTCAGAGACCATCAGGCGAAATCCTGTCTTACCTGTCCAAACTTAACAGGTACATGTGAGAGTTTTATGCATAGGGAGCGATATTGATGTGCTGTGTGTGTGTGTGTGTGTGTGAGAGAGAGAGATAGAGAGAGAAGTTTGAAGGAAGAGAGCTTGGCTGCAATTCTTCCAAGGGCCATAACTCTGTTTGTAATGCGTCAGTTTCCCCCGTCACTGATTCTTGATGTTCCTCAAGTGCATTTTGTCATTGTTCTATTGTGTATCATAACACTGGCTTCCTTTCATGGAGGATCGTTTTATTGCATTTACCACTACAAGGAAGTGAAATTGAAATCTCGGGAAAGTGGAAATTTTCATCGAAATGGTGCACAAGTTGGACGCTTTGAAACGGTATTTCCGTCATAACCCGCCGGATCAACTTCAAAACATAAAATGGAGTTGACTGTCACGTTCTCAAGTCACGTACCTCCCTTCGAGTACGTACAAACATAACAGGAAGTTACTCCTTAACGCGATACGGATGTGTGGTTGGTTGGTTGAGTGTTGTTTAACGCCGCACTCAGCAATATTCCAGCTATATGGCGGCGGTCTGTAAATAATGTAGTCTGAATCAGACAATCCAGTGATCAACAGCATGAGCATCAATCTACGCAGTTGGGATACGATGACATGTGTCAACCAAGTCAGCGAACCTGACTACCCGATCCCGTTACTCGCCTCTTTCGACAAGCATGGGTTGCTGAAGACAAATTCCAACCCAGATATTCACGGGTCCATATGGAAGGAACGATTTTACAACTTGTGGTTGACAGACCTTTAAAACAACCTTCTATTGTGAAAACATTCGGTCTCTGAGGACTTGCCTGTGATATTTTATGACACTGATCAAAACGCAGGTAACGTCCAATCCATCAATATGGCCTACAGGGAATGGAATTGGAACAGTTTCTATC